CATTTTCAAAGTCAACTGGTCATTGGATTCATTTATCAGAAATATCCCCAGCATGCTATTCTAAATCCAGTTGCTGGGTCTCAACTAGACCAGACTGTAATAGGATTTATATAAGTGGTACTAACCAGTTGATTCAATGGGTCCACTCAAGCATCTGAGACTAGCAACTGGATTTAGGCCAATATTGTTTTAACCAATTAATACATTTAAGCTTCATAAACTTCAGTGAAGATTGCTTTTACAGATACATCCTTGCCATAACAGGAGCATACTTTAGCTATGAATTGTACTGAGAATGTTTATTCTTGGAGCAGCAGGCCTTGCCATGCGAACAGCCAAGGTGGTATTTTCTTTCTACAAGATCTACGCTGACGTTTGCACAGCTTGGACAGAATGTACAATCAGAAGGGGCTTTTTTTTTTTTAGTTGTATTTAAACTTTTCCCTTTCATCACTTTATCCAGAAGGCTGAAGAGCTTAATAGAAGGATTAAGACTTGCACTGTCCTTTTCTAAATACATTGACTTCAATGTAAATCAAAAGGCAGGGAGTTCATTTGATTATGAGTAAGAATGACCCTTTAATCCCATGCACACTAATTCAGGATCCGAACTCAGTATGCTTCACAGTGCATATACACAACATGTGCAGTGGGCAGCAGCTGGCAGATTGCTAAAGGGAATCAGGCGGCTTAAATGGGGGTGTCATCCGTCACTCATACTGAGTCAGGCAGAGATTGAGTCAGTCAGTGCCTCTCTAAACACACTATCTTGTTGAAAAACCAAATTGTGCTCACAGATAGCTGGTTCAATGTCCTGTTGGCTAAGAACAGCCCCTATTTGCAGTACGGATTTGTTATATTTCAAACAACAACAACAATCCAATAGTTCACAGGTGCAGGGAAAATGACATAAACCCACCTTTTTATGCACCCAACGGTGGCAACTTCTGTTGCCCCTTGCCCATCATTTCCAACCAATAAATAATCCATCCCCATCCATATGTTGATCGCCTTCACCACCACCAGCCACCCAACTCAGTTTCTCCATTGCTTTGTATACCAGAACCCTTTTCCTGTCACCTGCCTCCAAAATGCCCTTGACCTACACAATGTTAAATCCACTGCTTCTCTGCCACCTCCTTTAATTCCCCCCCCCCATTCATGTCCTTCACCATTCACACATCAGATGCCTGGGAAGGTGGCAGGGAGAAGAAGATAAATGACCCCCTCCCAAAATATGAAGGGCCTTCCACATCAGGAGAAGTAGACAAAAATGTAAAACATCCCCTTTGGTTTCATTCATGATATTTTTTTTCCACAGCTGGAAACGTGTGGGAGAGGCTGGAAGTGTGGAAGCAACTCCTTTGCATCACGCTGCTATATATTTAGTACAAAGAAAAAGATAGTCAAGTCAGGGGTGGGCAGCAGTCTTTTTTCTGTCTCTTTCCCTGACACCACCTGAGTCTCTAGCATCTCATATCTATTCATTCCCCCTTCAATGAATGCATCTTCCTAGCAACAATTTAAGACACACTGTTCCTCAAGCCACTTGATTCTGTCTTGATTCTCACCTGGAGGAGGAAAGGCAAGTATATCTGATGAAGGGAAGCAAAAGTAATATTACATACTACCTCTGCTATACCCTGGCCTTCCTGGACAGGGTCCTCTCTAGAGATGATGTTTCCCTACATGTCCCATCATCTTCAGGCCACTTGGCCAGCCCCTGGGGTGATGGGATTTGTAATCCAACTTGTCCCAAAGGAGCCCAGTTGAGGAAGCTGGTGAAGGCATAGTCTGTGTCCCAACACACACCTCAGTTTTCTTCTGGGCTACATCCGCACTGGAGAAATAATCTGGTTTGACATCACTTGAACGGCCCTGGCTCAATGTTATGGAATTCTGGTAAATGTAGTTGGTTGTGGCACCAGAACAAAGGGGGTCATTTTTCTTCTTCTTCACTCTGGTGCCACAACCAATTACAATTCCCAGAATTCCACAGCATTGAGCCAGGGCCGTTCAAGTGGTGTCAACCTGGATTAATTTTCCAGTGCAGATGCAGCCCAGGCACCAATCAGATCCATAGACATCCCTTTTTCCACCCCACCCCACCCCATTCCATCCCTTACCTGCATCTTCCTCATCGAAGCTGTTCATGCAAGGGAAGTAAATGGCCAAGGCCTCAAAGGAGGCAGAGAGGCTGAGGCGGCTCTGGGATCGCTCCATGAAAAGCCCCGAGCTGCTACTACTACTGCCCCCGCCACCTCCGGGGGCTTCGGCCGCCGCCTGAGGCTTGGCCAGCTTCGACGTCCCATTCTTCACTCGGAGCACAGCCCGCGGCGTCTTGGCTGCTGTGGAGGGGCCTCAGAGAGGTGAGAAATGGGCTCCCCAGAGAAGGATGAGGAGGAAGAGGAGAGGGCAATGGGGCCCAGGGAGGAGGTGGAAGAGGGAGAAGATGCTACTGAGGACAGAAAGAGCAGGGGAGAGCAGGGTGGGAAAAGGATGCTAGTGGTACCCAAGGGAGAGAGGATGCTGGTGGTGAAGAGAGAGGATGGTAGTGGTACCCAAGGGAGAGAGGATGGTAGTACCCAAGGGAGAGAAGATGCTGATGATACCCAAGGGAGAGAGAATGCTAGTGGTACCCAAGGGAGAATGGATGCTGGTGGTGAAGGGAGAGAGGATGCTGGTGCTACCCAAGGGGGAGAGGATGTTAGTGGTACCCAAGGGAGGGAGGATGCTGAGAAAGGATGCTGGTGGTAAAAGGAGAGAGGATGCTAGGGGTCCTCAAGGGGGAGAGGATGCTGGTGGTCCCCAAGGGATGGAGGCTGGAAGTGGTACCCAAAGGAGCAAGGATGCTGGTGGTCCCCAAGGGGAGAGGAGGCAGGGAGGAAGGATGCTCTCAGGGACCTCTTCCCTCCAGCTGCTGCTGCTGCTGCTGCTGCTGTTCCGAAGGAGGCTGAGGCGCCTGCGGAAGGGAAGCCGGCTGGTGCTGCCTCTCTTGCAGATGTTGCTTCTGCTCCTCCGGGGGAGTCCCTGCTGTTCCGAGGAGGGAAGCGGAGAGAGACCCCCACCTGCTGCTGCTGCTGCTGCTGCTGCTGCTGCTGCTGCTGCTGCCTGGCTCCGCGGCTCGGCCGCTTTCTCCTCTTGGCTCAATGGTCCTCCATTCAATCCGGGCTGGAGGGGCGGGGGCTGCCGTGACGTCACGGTCCGGGAGGCAGCCCAGCCAATCAGGGCCGGAGGGGGAAATAGGCGAGGAGGGGGCGCTCCAAGGATGCTGGGGAGAGTCGGCGTTGCCAGGCGAAAAAGGATGCAGGGAGCATGCGCACTCGCGCGCTCTCCATCTCTCTAAGCCCAGCCTCACCTGGTCTCTTTAGGAGCTGACTCAAGGGGCATCTACACTGTAGAAATAACCCAGTTTGACGCCACTTTAAGGTCTGTCAGCTCCATCCTCTGGAATCCTAAAGTTTGTAGGTTTTACAAAGTCTCCTTCGCCTTCTCTGCCAAAGAGTCCTGTGCCTCACTAAAGTACAAATCCTATGTTTCTATAGGATGGAGCCCTGGCGGTTAAGGTGGTGTCAAACTGCATTATTTCTACAGTGTAGGTGCACCCACAGTCCTTTGGGGTTGGAGGGCTCAGCAGTTTCAGGGTTGCAGCCGCATTGCAGAAATAACCTGGTTTTTGACACCACTTTAACTGCCCCAGCTCAATGCTGTGGCATTCTGGGAATTGTAGTTTGTTGCTCTTCTCTGGTGCCACAACAAACTACAATTCTTGGAATCTCATAGCTTTTGAGTTGGGGCACTTAAAGTGGTGTCAAAGCAGATTATTTCTGCGGTGTGGGTGCAGACCAAGAGGTTAAACCCATGTGTCCAACAATGCGTTTTATGAAGAATTTCTTCCTGGGTGTCTACTCTGCCTTTTGAAAGTTCATGATGGAAGCTTCTTCGCTAGAACCTTGTCATTGAAATAGTGTTGAATGTGATTTTTTTTAAAAAAAGATACAGAGAAACAGAAATTACAGTAGATTTACACACATCAGTATCCTAGCAATTTTTACTATCCTGCCCACCTTCAGAAAATGTATTGTATGCTTTTAAGTCATTTCTGACTTTGTTGTTATTGTTGTGTGCCTTCAAATTGTTTCTGACTTATGGTGACCATATCCTGGTGTTTTCTTGACATGTTTCTTTAGAGGGGTGTTGCGCCCTTGCCATCCTCTGAGGCTGAGAATGTGTGACTTATCCAAGGTCACCTAATGAGCTGGGATTCAGCTCTTTGTCTCCAGAGTCATAGTCCAATGCTCAAACCACTGCGCCATGCTGGCTCTTTGGTGATATGATGGCCATTTTTAAATATCTAAATGCAGGGGTAGGCAACCTTTTTGAGCCGGGGGCCGGTCCCCCAAAGTCGTCCCTTCCGGCAGGCCAGGGGGGGGGAATGGCAGCGTACGCACTCCCGCTCACATGCACACAACTCCCACCACTGCGCACAACCCCCCCACGCTACCGCCGCCACCGCCACTACGCGCGCTGCTGCAACCACTTCCGTGCATGTCGTGGCCACCATTTTGTTCTCCAAAATGGTGGCCGCAACGCATTTGCACATGTGCAGGAGTACTGCGCATGCACAAATGAGTTGCAGCTGCCATTTTGGAGAACAAAATGGTGGCCGCCACTCACGACCGCCATTTTGTTTTCCAAAATGGCAGTCATGAATCGTTTGCGCTTGCACAGACGTGTCGTGGCTGCCATTTTGGAAATCAAAATGGTGGTCGCGGTGCGCATGGCCGTGCGGTGACCAAAACACACGGCAGCGGTGGCAGGTGGCAGTGGCGGCAGGGGTCCGCCTGGGCCAGTAAGCATGGGGCCCTGGGCCAGAACCGGCCCACAGGCCATAGGTTGCAGGCCCCTGTCTAAATGGATGTCATGTGAATGATGAAGAGATTTTGTTTTCTGCTGCTCCTGAGAATAGATCATGACTTGCCTAAATGGGTTAATATGGCTGAGCCAGGATTTGAACTCTTGTCTCTGGAGTCATAGTCCAGTACTCAAACCACTACGCCATGCTGGCTCTCCATTTTTGACTTATGGCACCCCTATCACAAAGTTTTCTTGGCAAGATTTGGAACACATAACCATTACCTTAAAATGTCTTCATCCATGGTACATACTAGATGGCTGAAGAAAAGTGTCCATCAGTGCCAGTTCTATAGAAGTCAATGGAGTTTGAGTTCAGTGGTGTCTTCTCCCAGGTTACTGTGTATAGATGCTTCCAAAAGTTAGTTTTTCTGGAATACAGCTCTCACAACCCACCAATGATCTAATCTCAAATATATATATATATATATATATATATATATATATATATATATATTAGCAATAGGCACATTGTTTATTTTAGTATTTCTTTATCAGCCCATCCAGGCTCCTAAGGTGATGAAGAGCAATAAAATCATTCTTTAGAAACAGACCAAAACAATATTTTTTTAAAAAAACAAAAAACAAAACCACACACAACATAATTAAAATAATGTGGGGGGGAAGCTCTCTAGTTTTAAGGATCATTTAATGGTGTGGATTAGTTGAAAAACATAAATTAATGGTTATCTATAATGTAGTGTACAAAAATTAAGGGATACCAACATCAAGCAAACCTGTTAAAATCCATTAAAACAGAGCAACCATATATAAATACCAGCAAGACAAGGATCATAATGACATTTTTAAAACATTTAATACATTTCCCAGTGCAATCCTTTGCTCACATTGAGTTTAATGGGACATGTTCTCAAATAATTGGGTAGAGCAAAGGTGGAAATCATGCAGCCCTCCAGATGTTATTGGCGTCCATATCCCAGCACCTTCACCATTAACCATGGTGACTAGGGCTGCATCCACACTTCAGAAATAATCTGGTTTGACACCACTTTAACTGCCATGGCTCAAGGCTATGGCATTCTGGAAATTGTTGTTTGTTGTAGCACCAGAGCAGAGATCTGCAGGACATCATGATCTGCAGGACATCATGATTCCCACCCCTGAAGTTGGAAGCTATAATCATAATCAAGATGCCTTGTGAAAGATGACAAGAAAAGAGCTGAATGAGCCTCCAATGGGAGGACATTCTTTAACTTTGGGGCTAGAGTAGCCAAGGCCATGTTTTTTGTGGTGAGACTCTAAACTCCATGTGCAATGGAACCTATAAGCAGAGAGGCCTCAGTGGTGACTAGGAAGAAGGATCATATACCGGAGGAGTAATCTCTTCAGATAATAAGAACTTGGGACTTGACTCTGTCCATTAACTGGAAACTAATATAACTGTTTTAAAATAGAGTAGTGAAAATGTCAATGCTAGCCCAGCATAACAGACCACTGGTATTTTTTACAAGGTTCAGTGGGTAGGGAGAAAAAACTAAAAACATTTAAAATGTGTGATCCTAATTTTAGGAAAGATATAGAACAAACTGTCTCTTACACAGTGGGCCCTTGGTATCTGCTGGGGTTTGGTTCCAGGACTCCTTGTGGATACCAAAATCTGTGGATGCTCAAGTCCCATCATATACAGTGGTGTAGTAAAATGGTGTCTCTTATATAAAATGGTAAAATCAAGGTTTGCTGTTTGGAATTACTATTTTTTAACATTTTGAATCTGTGGATTCAGAAACTATGGATGGAGAGAGCAGACTGTTTTTCCTTTCTTTTTCTTAGCTCTCATTATATGATTTCTTGATCTAGCTGTTTTTGATCATTGACATTGCAACATCCATAACTTTTTTTTGTACAAAATTTGCAATAAAAAGTATATTGTATTTATTATAAATGTTTTGGATTAAAATTTCCACAACTCTTTACCACTGATGTTGGCTAAGGCTGATGGGATTGGTAGTCCTACATAGCTAGAAAGCAAACCACAAAAAAAAATGGATGTTGGCTGTGAAAGCCTTAGACTTCACAGTAGGGTAATAGATTCACTCCATGTTTTAGACTGAATGTTAAAGGAGATGTCCAAGGTGCTGAAACTACTTTGGTGAGAGGACACAGCACCTTGAAAGACAGCATGGTGGTCTGAGTGCTGGACCACAAATCCAAAAGACTAGTGTTCAAATCCCTCTTTGGCAATGGAAATCTACTGGGAAACCTTGGGGAAGTCATTTTCTCTCAGCCCTATAGGAAGACAAAAGCTAACTTCCTCTGAATAAGACTTGTCAAGAAAACCTTAGGAATGTAGGAAATTATTGGTATTTGTATATTAAGCAGAGTGCAGCATGTCCAGTAAAATATGAGCCACTGGTATAAACAGGATAGGAATATGCAGGATGATCTGATAAGGTTAAAAAACAAAACTTTCATTGTTGCAAGAGGTCATAAAAAATAGGAAAGTAGATAGACTAAAGAAAGTTACCTATACTTTGGTAGACAAGTCCCTAATAATGACTCATGTGTACGTTTATGGCTATCCTGAGGCTGAGAAGCCTCATTGATGCTTCCTTCTCAGACAAAATACTAACTTTTGGAGAGAAAGGGGAGGCAAGGAAGTGACCTATGTAGGCAGAAAGTAGAAAAAGGCTTGAATTACTTAGATCAGGGAGCTTAGAGAAGGAAACAAGACATGTATTTCAAAGTTCACTCTCCATCCCTAATTACTAAAGAAATGAACATTGATGCCTCTTCTGTTCTAACAAGGAAAGGGTTTCCATAAGTCAAAGTTGAAGGCACATAACACACACAAAATTAAGCACCTTGGATAACTCCCTTAAAGTTCAAACTAAAACCCAGAACAGATTCACTACCTCACTACTCTTATTTTAATATGGTGAATAAAGGCTTTGAATCCTCACTCAGTCATGGAAACCTACTGGATGACCTTGGGCAAGTCATGCTTTCAGCCTCAGAGGAAGGCAAAGGCAAACCCCTTCTGAAGAAATTTTGCCAAGAACACTCAATGGTAGGTTCACTGTAGGGCCGCTATATGTTAGAAATGACTTGAAGAAAAATAGCAACAACAATCATATTGCCTCTCAGTCTTCTAGTTAAGTATCCACAGCTTCCTAAGCCATTCCTCAGAGGGCTTGGCTTCCAATCTTTGATCAACCAGGACACATTCCAGCTTATGCATTCTTGTAAAATGTTATCCTTATCCCATGTGGGAATGAAGCAGTGGAACAAGGGCAGTCTTTCTATTAAAATATTGGACTCCTTTAATCTATAGATGATAAAATCTTTTTTTTTTTTTCAGGATAGAAAAATGCAAGCCTCTTCATTCCTATGTAACCCTCTCAAACCAGATTAGGTGGGTTCTCAGCATCTGAATGACAAGCCTGAAGCCGGGTTTTAGTGTCACCGATAAATATTCAGGCTTCATTTTTGAACATTTCCTGAAGGCCACTTTTCCATTCTTGCTTTTTTCTCGAAGCTCATCCAGAAAGGCTGGCTGTGGATCAAAAGTACCAGCTGTCTTCAGAAGATGAGCATTGCTCACCCAGGAAACTCAGAAGCAGTGTAGGCTCCATTGCATCATATGCTTCCATTTGCGTGGTGGGGTTTCTACTGAAATACTGTGCATGACATAAACCTCATATGGAAAATGATGGAGGTGTTCACCACTGAGTTGTTTTCCCCAGCAACAAGCAGGGCTCCTGGGAGATCACAAAGAATAGTGGTTATTGGGCCTTAATTCAAAGAGTTCCCCATTGCCACCAATTTCCATCCAAAGAAGGATATAATAACAGGCAAGCATGATACAAGAAGCGTCCAGTTGCCATCCAAGGGGAATATAAGAACAGAAGTTGAAATGCTTGCAACTATAAATTAAAAAGTGCATCCTCCAAGTCCAAATCTTATAAGTACTATACAATAAGATGCCCATTGTGTTTACTACCTTGGGTTCCCTAGAGGAAAGGAAGGATATAAGTATTTAGAAGACAGCAGCAGTAGCAATACTAAGAATTTACAGTACATGAGATGCCTTACATAGTTTCATAAGGGACAAAAAAGTTCTCTGTCCCAAAGAGCTTACAATCTTAAAAAGTGAGGAAAACAACAGCAGGCAGGAAAAGTGTTTAGCCACATACATTCTGGGCATGTGTTTACCCAAATAGCACCTAAAAGTCTTTTTAATGCAAAAACATGGCAGCTTCTTGAGAAATTTATGTTTTCTGCTTGTAGCCTCACAAAGGATGGAGACTACCTGAATCTCAAAGGAGATTTTTGTGCTGCTAATGGAATTCAAATTTTATTTCCTGGACTTTAAGATGCTTTGTCTCTCAGTCCCCACATGGCCAGGAGGAGGAGTGGCCAGCCTGCAGGAATATCCCTACATACCATCTTAACTGAGAACAACAACAGCAGCATCTTGACAAAATGCAGGCCTATGACTAACATAGTTATAGCTTCTTTTCCTCTTGTATGATTTTTAACACCTTTGCTTGATGAAGGAGCCAGTGGAGCATCGAAAGCTTGCAACTTGTATTTTGTGGATTTTGGTTAGTCCAATAAAGGTATAACTATTTTGTAGATTTTGAACATTATTGTACCTTGCCAAATGGCCAACTTGGCTACCCCTGGATATCATTATGGAATTGGGGAATGAATGCTAAAGAAAAAATAAACCAGAGGCTATGCAGAATAGTAGAGTTTGAGTAGGAATTTCAAGGAGATTAATCTTTTCAAGTGCAGCACCAACCAATAAGAAAACTAGAGATTGGAGAAATTTCACTTTGAGACTACATGCATGCAGTGGCTATGAACACTGTTGGGAAGGAAGTTAATTGTATAATTTTATAGTTGAGGCTGAAATAAGTATATGTTGTGTTAAATTTAAATATGGTTGTTATGCATAATTTAAATGGAGCATTCAACATTATTTATATTATTTTTTATTTTAATTTTTTAAAGAATTCTGGACATTGAATCCAAATATAATGTTTTCAAACTGTGGAGAACATGCTCTTCCTTGGGCAGCTGCACTCCTCCTTGGACTCTTCTTAACAGAGGAGAAAGAAAAGCTGTTGTCTTTAATTCTTCGTGAAGGTCCAAAGATAAGTGATGTCTCTAGGAAGAGTTGAAAAAGACCA